GACCTGCTTTCGGGATTTTGGCAATTGCCCCTCGATGAGGAATCGAAACCAAAGACCGCTTTCCGGACACCTGGAGGCCTATTTCAATTTAATCGATTGCCCATGGGGCTACATTCCGCTCCCGCCACGTTCCAGAGGCTCATGGAATTGGTTTTGTCAGGACTCCAATGGGACACCTGCTTGATTTACCTCGATGACATCATCGTTTTAAGCCGGACTTTCGAGGAGCACCTCCAACGATTGAGGGGGGTGTTCCTCAGGATGCGTTCCGCAAAATTAAAATTTAAACCAGCTAAATGTCACCTGCTTCGGGAATCGGTGAGGTACTTGGGGCATATCGTTGGCCGTTCAGGGATCTCTACAGATCCTGCTAAGACGCACTGCGTCAGCTCGTGGCCAACGCCAACCTCAGTCACTGAGGTCCGCAGCTTTATAGGGTTTGCCTCCTACTACCGCCGTTTTGTCGAAAATTTTGCCACCATAGCCAGGCCCCTACATGCTTTGACGGCTAAAGGGGTAAGGTTTTCCAAGTTACTACATTACACTTGCATGGAGCCCCAGGCCGAGGGAGATTGACAGTTCTTTTATGTTTATTTCATTTGCGAATAATCGCACCAACTGTTGTCACCTTTTCACCAAGCTGCTTGGCGATGGTCTTGTAGCCCATTCCAGCCTTGTGCAAGTCTACAATATTGTCCCTGACATCCTTGGAGAGCTCTTTGGTCTTGGCCATGGTGGAGAGTTTGGAATCTGATTGATTGCTTCTGTGAACAGGTGTCTTTTATACAGCTAACAAGCTGAGATTAGGAGCACTCCATTTAAGAGTGTGCTCCTAATCTCAGCTCGTTACCTGTATAAAAGACACCTGGGAGCCAGAAATCTTTCTGATTGAGAGGGGGTCAAATACTTATTTCCCTCATTAAAATGCAAATCAATTTATAACATTTTTTCCTGGATTTTTGTTGTTATTCTGTCTCTCACTGTTCAAATAAACCTACCTTTAAAATTACAGACTGATCATTTCTTTGTCAGTGGGCAAACGTACAAAATCAGCAGGGGATCAAATACTTTTTTCCCTCACTGTATGTTAACCACACTGTGTGTGAACACCTATGTTAACCAAATTTTCTCAACGTTGCATGTGTACTGGGTTTTAATAAAAATTTAGTTTTCTTGATGAAGTAATTTCTGCCCCTTTGTATTTTTCAACGCTTTCACTTCACGTGATATTCCTCTATTTGTCGTGGTCAATATCTTGTAACAACATGTTTAGTCTACTTCCTGTTGTCCAATCCACGAGACTGTGTGCTCACTGTGACAACGTATTGCCCGCACACCAATCAGGCGCCACGTGCCTCAGGCTCACCTGCTTCGTGTGCGTGCATCACTCTAAATAAAAAACACCTAATTGATAAAGCAATCAATAAAAATTGGCGTCAATCAATTAAGCGTCTCTTTAAAAGCGTGGACGTCTTGTTAATTAAATATCTATTTTCCCGCCGGGAATCGAGAACGCCGTGGCCCCTGAGCTCTGGAATCGCGTCGCCCACGAAGCTTCTCAACACGTGGTGAGCGCTGAGCGCGTGTTGCGCAACTCAAACTTGTTGTTTTATTATTCAACTTCATTCGTCCCTCTCTCTCTGTGTGTGTGGCGCGCTCAAGGCTCGTGGTCGACACGTCGTTCACTTCCACGTTGTCCGCTCGACTTCTTTAAAAAAAAGTTATAATTTTTTAAAAGAAAAAATAAATTTGTATTAAAAAACATTTTTAAAAATTTTTTAAGGAGTTTCTTTTAGTGGGTTTACCTATACAATGCATGGGTCTCCTTGCATATCTAGATTATATTTATTGGTTCAACAACAACAACGAGAACACCGCTGCCGGGTGACTACCTAATACGAGGTCTGACCCTGCGTAGTAAAGTGTTGTGTGTTGCTAAATTGGTTATGCCTACAAAGTATGTTTAATGGATAGTATTATTCCACACAAACTTTGCGTTTGTGAGCAGGACTTTACGTGAAGGGATGACACACATGCACGCCACGTTTTTTTTATTTAAAATCGTTAATCTTCTTGGTTCTTTCGGTAAAGTCACGTAGAAGGGAAGTAATAAAATAATAAAAATAAAACATAATAAAATAAAATCTCACGACGTTTCGGCTACAACGCAAGCAGCCGTCTTCAGGTGAAGAAACGTCGTGAGAATTATTTTATTTTATTATGTTTTATTTTTATTATTTTATTACTTCCCTTCTACGTGACTTTACCGAAAGAACCAAGAAGATGAATCCCTGCAGTCACGAAAGCTTTAAATCGAAATTTAAAAGAGTTAAATTTATCAATGTCCTGGGTCACAAAAGCAACGTTTGTGAGGAGATTTTATTTTAATTCATTTTTAATTTATTTTCGTTTTATTTATTTCTACCTACGTGACTTTACCGAAAAAAACATCAGAGTATGAATCCTTGCAGTCACGAAAGCTTCAAATTTAGAATTTGTGGAGATTAACAATAGCCACTTTCTCTACTTTTGAGACATAAGCTATTAGGTAATAAAGCTTTACTACTAAGGGACAATGTTGTTGTCACACTGTTATTAATGGAGTGGATTATTCACTTCGCTTTTGTGTCCTGGGTCACACAAGCAACGTTTGTGTGGAGTATTAAGAGCCCACTTTCTCTACTTTTGAGGCACTAGCTATTAGGTATTAACACTTTACTACACAGGGACAACAATAAAACATGTTTTTGTTACACACTGAATTATCTACTTAATCGAGGAAATCTCTCAAGCTTTCGTGACTGCAGGGACTCATCTTCTTGGTTCTTTCGGTAAAGTCGCGTAGAAGGGCTCGTTTTTTGTCTGAAATCCTACGGCCTTTCACTGGAAAAACCACCTTCTGGGTACTAAACTCTACTGACCTGGTATCGACAATCAAGGGGATTGCCCTGTCCCCAGACGACCTGCTTGTCAGTGATGTGGTTTCCTTATTCACCAAAGTTCCTGTACCTGACACCATCGCAATCATTGAAGACTTGATTCATCAAGGACTGAATGCTGGGGTACCCCCCCCCTGGTGAGACACTGCTTAATCAATACATACTTCACCTGGAATGGAACTTTCTACAAACAAACTGAGGGTACCCCAATGGGCTCCCCCCTATCTCCGGTTGTAGCCAACGTTTTCATGGAGAAATTTGAGACTGACGCCATCCAGACTGCCACTCTATGCCCGACCTTGTGGAAGAGGTACGTAGATGACACTTTTGTCATCTGGCCACATGGCCGGCCTGCTCTAGACCAATTCCTCGACCACATCAATTCCATACACCCAGCCATCAGATTCACCATGGAAGTCGAAAAAGGAGGCAAGCTACCCTTTTTGGATGTTAAATTAAAAGGAGACCTGATGGTTCAATGAGCCATTCTGTCTACAGGAAAGCCACCCACACGGATGCTTACCTAAAACCGGATTCCCACCACCATCCATCCCAGAAAAAAACTCCCTCATTAAGACTCTATACCATAGAGCCCAACGCATCTCCGACCAGGAACACATTGCCGGTGAACTCAAACACGTACGCCAAGCTCTTAAGGCTAATGGTTACTCCGACTACACAATCCGCAAGGCCATCACTCCAACCATCAAGAAGGATCCTGTTGAGGAGCCTATCAAAACTATCACCCTACCCTACATTGCTGGGGTCACAAAAAAGATCTCCAAAATCCTGATTAAACATAAGATCCAGGTCCGATTCAACACAGTACATAACATTCGTGATCTGGTCCCGTCTGTAAAAGATGTGGTTCCAGACATACAGTTCCCTGGCGTCTACAAACACAGTTGCCTCTGTGGTAGCAGTTACATTGGAGAAACCAAACGACATGTCTCGGACCGCATCCGTGAACATAAAGCAGACCTGAAACACGGTAGGACAAACTCCTCAGCCGTGGCAGATCACTGTTACAATTCAGTGGGCTCACATGACATTGACTTCTCCAAGACAGAGGTTCTCTGCAAGCCATCTGGCTATCATGAGAGATTCGTTCATGAGGCGATCCACATATACAAACACAGAGACAATTTCAACCGAGAAGATGGATTCTGGCTCGGCAATCATTGGAAGGACGTAATAAACCATTTCGGATCTTAACTGATTGTTCACGTTTACGGTGACTTTCAGACCGCAGTCCACTCACTGGCATTGACTATCTTGTGTGCTCCACAGGGAATGCAATATTTGCTCCGTTGCGGGTCTCCTGCTTCTACATACTATTAACATTCCCTCCCTTTGTTAATGCTACCCCCTACCCCCTCCCTTTGATGCTGCTAATCCTGCATAATGCATGGGTATAATATGACTTTGAAAACCCCCAGCCCACCTCCTACACATTTCCCATAAATATGCTAAATTTCTCTTGAAATGCAAATTCTTTTGTCAAGGCGCTCTTCCCCCCCCCTCCAACCCAGCTTAAAAAGACGCTCCAAGCCTGGGGTTGTCATTCAGACTCTGTCTTCTCGACAGACCTGTTCTTCACCTGAGGACGGCTGCTTGCGTTGTGGCCGAAACGTCGTGAGAATTATTTTATTATGTTTTATTTTTATTATTTTATTACTTCCCTTCTACGTGACTTTACCGAAAGAACCAGGAAGACGAGTAAATCTCGTTCGGCCCTTGCGCCCCCTGTTGACACGGGACCGGTACTGCAGGCCAAGAATATCGCATCGCGCCAAACGATGCCACCCACACATTCAATGCACGTCGTGGTTATACAGACATCAGCAGTTGGAGTTCATCACGACCACGGTGGCTAGGAGATGTTGACTCCCTCGCCCGGTACACAAGCGGTCGTGGGTTCGATCCCGTGTACCAGGCGAGGAAGTTAACATCTCCCAGCCACCGTGATGATGATGATGAGTGAGACATGAAAACTCAAAATATGCAGACCATGCGAGGGTGTGAACATCGTCACCACCGCTCTGCTTCTCTTCTGCACAGTGTCGCTGGCCATGAGAACTCCGATGGGCTTCTCCCCGTTGCTGCTGGGACTCTGCGCCACGGCACAGCTGGGGGCAGTCGCCAGCGACTCTTGGTGGTAACCGCGAGACGCCGCCGCTGATTTCCTCTTCACTCTTCTTCTGCGATGGGCGCACAAGTGTCTAATATCTTGCACACCCCCCCCCCCCCCCCCCCCATACGGCTGTTTGTGTTTTGTTTAACACCGAGTAGCGGGCAGGGCTCTCGTGACCAATATCATCCACAGGAGTTTTTTTGGGGGGGGTTACATCGCGTAAATGTATAAATGTTGTCATAAAAAATATATCTAGCCACAGTGATGATGATAGAGACACACAGACTCCAAATGTACAGCAGCAGCAGGCGTCAGGGTTGGGATCAAACCTACTACCTACTGCATACCAGGCGAGGTAGTCAACATCCCCTGGCCACCGTGACCCCCCTCCACCCCCTTCCCTCTGCAGGTCGCTGGCATTGTGGACACCCCGGGTCGACCCCTCCACGCATCCGCTGCTGTTGTGCAGCACGTCGCCGGGGCTGTCCCCCACACAGCGCCAAATATGCCAGAAGCAGCCGCACTTCATGAAGCTCGTGGCCGAGGGTGTCCAGCTGGCGATTGCCGAGTATCGGCACCAGTTCCAGGCCAAGCGGTCGAACTGGACCACGGAGAATGGGCTCGTCCCTATTCCTCGGTCGGGTAAGGAGATCGTCTCCCCGGGTCAGAGCCAGTGTCGAGCCTCTCCCGGCAAAGCGGGTTTCCCCTCGACGTTCAGCTACACACGGACGACCTTTCTACACGGCCCCATCGTCGGCTTCTAACTGCACAGCTGGCTGACTAATGCAGCGATGACGACGATGGGAGCCGTGCAGAGGATCGGACATGCGGCCGGAACACGGCGAGCGTAGCTAGGCCACGCCCCCTTCTAGAACCTTCCAGCAGGTTCCATGAGCTTCCCCACTGACCCACCTTCTACCTCTAGCCCAGACACGCCCCCTTCTAGAACCTTCCAGCAGGTTCCATGAGCTTCCCCACTGACCCACCTTCTACCTCTAGCCCAGACACGCCCCCTTCTAGAACCTTCCAGCAGGTTCCATGAGCTTCCCCACTGACCCACCTTCTACCTCTAGCCCAGACACGCCCCCTTCTAGAACCTTCCAGCAGGTTCCATGAGCTTCCCCACTGACCCACCTTCTACCTCTAGCCCAGACACGCCCCCTTCTAGAACCTTCCAGCAGGTTCCATGAGCTTCCCCACTGACCCACCTTCTACCTCTAGCCCAGACACGCCCCCTTCTAGAACCTTCCAGCAGGTTCCATGAGCCCTGTCATTGCACTAGTCAAGAATTCGCCACGTTCTGTCTACGTGCCGAAGCCTTGCCGGTCGAACGCGGCGGCTGTTTTAACGACGTGACGTTTCTATTTCGGCGACCTACGCTAGATAGAAAAACAACAACCTCCATTATAGACAAATGATGAAATTGTTTTGTGGGGGGGGGGGGGGGGCCAGGCTCTCGCGAGACCGCCTTCTTCTCCGCCCTCGCCGCCGCGGGAGTGGTGCACGCGGTGGCGCGCGCCTGCTACACCCCGCAGGTGATCCGCGACAGCTGCACCTGGACCTATGACCCCTTGCTGCACCCCAGAGGTAACATCGAATACGGAGCCCATTTCGCCAAGGTGTTTGTGGACGCGAGTGTCCACGACCGCTGGAGGCGAGGGGGACAACGCAAGTCTTTGGCGAAACTCGTGCAGATGGATTTGCACAACTACGAAGTTGGTCGCGTGGTGAGTGGGCGGGTGGGTTGTAGGTATTGTCGTATGAAATGTTTTTTTATGGAAAAAAGTATCAGTTTATGAAATGCTGCACATTTATATACTTGGATCGGCATCGTTGTCTAGGGGTTGTCTTGTTCAGCAGTTCTACTGCTGTAGCCACCCGATTGCTTGTGTTGCAGGTTGAAATGTGATTTATTATTTTTCTATCTACGTGACTTTACCGATCTAACCCCCCAAGTCAGCACGCTCATGGTTCGTCATTAGCCGTTGCGCTGCTGCTCCTGTGAGTAGCAGCCTGGCTTTGCGCCACTACCCTTGGGTGCGGCACAGGCTGGAGAAGGGATGCAGTGATGTGGTACAGGAGGACGTGGAGCTGAGTGGACTTGCCGATGACTGGTACCAGCGGTGTCAAGATCGGCCTCTGTGGAGGAGGCTCGTGAAGGACGCTACTGGGCAGTTGGAGGCAGTCGCCCTCCAACAACAACGGAGGGTGGAGGAGCGACGCTCACAACAACGAGCGGAGCGCCGGGTGGCTAAAGCACAGCATGTTGGCATAGTAGGGGGCACAGGTGGTGCATCAGCCAGTCATCTCAGTCAGTCGACCCGTGGCACCTGGGTCTGCCCCGTGACCTCCTGCCAGCGGGCGTTGGACACTTCACGTGGCCTCAACGTGCACACGGCCTGGCACAATCCACTTAGTGGCGAATGGCGGTTGGTAGTGACAAATGATGATGGTGTTGGTGGTAACTGATTGTGGTAGTAACAATGACCGTGGTGGTGGTGCTGCAGGTGATGGAAGAACTGTTGTACTACTGCGGTTGCGACAACAGAACCGGTGAATGCGACAGAGTCTGCCTGCCGCTGCGCGAAGACTTTCGCGACGTTGGCGACTTTCTGAACGTGAGCTCACGGCTGCCGGTGATGAGACTGCACCCGGAGGATTAATCCACAGTCGGGTTACAAACGGGGGGAGGGGTCCCTAACAGCATTCACTCAACCACCACCACTTCAAAAGAAAACATGGCGGATCCTCCCCCCCCCTGATGATGATGACGATAATGTCAATGATGGCTGCAGGGAAAGTACGACAGAAGTTCCGCCATGCGGCTGGTGAGGGACAACAGGAGCGGTGGAAGTGGCGGCGCCGCCCGCTGGCGTCTGGAGCCGGTGAACGAGTGGTTGACGGCGCCCTCGGAGTATGACCTGGTCCACGTGAGCGCCAGCCCGGAGTACTGCGTCCGTGGCAGCACCAGCGGAGCGGTGGGGAGGCAGCGCTGCAACGACACCGAGGCAGCCGAGGAATGCACCGTCACATGCTGCGACAGAGGATACGACATCTCCCAAGGTGGGCCCCCCCCCCCCACCCCGGTTGAAATTGAGTTACAAGATTTGAGGATACGACAACAGACGGAGTGAGTTCAATGAAAGCGTGTAAACATGATCTCGTCCAGGAGCGTCAATCGTTCCACAAACTCCCGGTCATCTTGGTAGCAGCAGCGGCGGCTTTCTAGCTCTGCCATCGGACAGAGACGCTGGTCACTGCATCATTGCGCGCAGCGCTCTCGGATGAGCGTCTGCGGCCGTCTGGAATGCTCTTCCGATAATATAAAGCGCGATATTAGTCTAGATTGAACACTGTTTTCTTTAGAACTGCTTTTAGTATTTAGTTTGTCTTTCCCCTGCCCGCACCACCTGAGCGCATGGTTGGCTATGTACGGTGTCAAGAAGTTCAACGTACAAACTATACACTACACTACACACTACACTATACATCACATCCTATACACTACTCTACACCACGACTCTACACTACTGTAATGACCACCTGGCCACGCACCACCGTCTCTCTCTATTCACACCGTCCCTATACCACTACGCACTAGTCTTCACTACTATACAGTACCGTACACCACGCAATCACACCCTGTGCCACTACGCACTATACTTCACTACTATACAGTACCGTACACCACGCAATCACACCCTGTGCCACTACGCACTAGTCTTCACTACTATACAGTACCGTACACCACGCAATCACACCGAAAATGCATTTCTGTAGAACTGCTTTCCGTGATCCTTAGGTTGCTCGAAGGGATATCGTCGGCAGTGGCTCTGCGACAGCCGCTTCCCCGCGGGTCATTCGCAGAGGTCGCAAACGGGTTTTGATTCCTTACCCCTCGTACCCGTATCCGGCCGCACCAGGGTCGCTAGCGGGTACCCGGCCGTACCCGTACCCTACCCGTACCCGGCCGGGTACGGGTAGGGTACGGGTTTCGGGTACCCGCTTGCGACCTCTGGGACGAAGCCATGTTGCAGGCGCGGGTGGGTTGATTCTAGGAACTTGAATTGTGAGAAGAGACAAGACGTTGGGAAATGAGTGACAAACGGTGACTCACCAGTGACTCACGGTCTACCCGTACCCGGCCGCACCAGGATCGCAAACGGCTACCCGTACCCGGCCGGGTACGGGTAGCCGGGTATCGGGTACCCGGTTGCGACCTCTGGTCGTTTGACAACGTCGGGAGGAGAAGTGCGCGGAGATTTTGTTCACCTCGACGTTAATGGCGGTTGCACAATTGCGATGATCTCATTAGCTCTCTCCCCTCTGCTGTTCCCTCCCCAGTCACGGTGGAGATGCAGTGCGGGTGCAAGGAACAGCTCAAGGAGAACGTCAAGTGCAAGCTTTGCCCGTGGACCGTCGATCAATTCGCTTGCAAGTAGCCTCCAGCCCCAGTGGAGGGGGGGCCTCGACTGAGATCGCGACCCCCACAAAGCTGTTTAGGGCATCGACATCCAGCGTGTACCCCTCACTACGAGCTGCGTTCTACTATACACACTGCACTATGCACTACCCTACTACACACTCTGCATGCGCTTCATCTTCACGATGTGGAAGCGCCGTTGTTTTGTGACGTCGCCACTTGAATGCGCTTAGCGACCAAGTGCCGTTGTTCCATTTATTCCTTTGTTCTCGTTAACGCCGCGTTTGCCAAATCTAGGCAACGTTCACTCGGCGCTTGTTAGGATTCACAGCGAGGTCCGTCGCACCCTTCCCTGCGAGCCGCGTCACACTGAATCTACTACTTCACACGACTTCGCACTGCACTTGTATGCAGTGTCTCGCCTATAAAAGTCATTTTTGTCTCTTTATCTGTGTGTGTGGTGTGTGTATGTGTGGTGTGTGTGTGGATGAAACTGGCTAAGGATTTGGCTCACGAACCACAGGGTGTACGTTTAACGTACCCACACACGCTACGTCACACACACACCACACCACCCACACACCCCACGCCACACACATAAACCACACACACACACCACACCACCCACACACACCACACCACCCACACACACCACACCACCCACACACACCACACACATACCACACACACCACACACATACCACACACACACTACACACACGCTACACACCACACACACACCACGCCACACACACTACGCCACACACACACACCACACACACACACTACGCCACACACACTACACCACACACCACACCACACACACACCACACCACACACACTACGCCACACACGACAGCCAGTAAGGAATTGTAGATCCGCCACTGACAATTCACTTCAAAGCATCCGCTGATAAAAGAAGATAAAGGCGCGGTCCCTGCAATTCCCCTACTCAGGCTCTTGTTGGCAGAACGGCCTTCCCACTCTGAGGAGCTCTGGACAGAGCTCCTCGATGGGCTACTTGGCCTACTCTTCCACGCTGACGTCTACAGACGCCGTGGGAGAACACACCAGAGTGGGGGTAGCCCACACTCTACCCCACCGACTGGACCGGGTGGTGGCTGGGCGCGTTTGAGAAACGTGTCCATTGGTTCAGCTGCCGTAGCGACGGCGGGTGACGGACCGGTGACCTCTGGGTTGTTTGACCTTCTGAGTCAATGATTGGCGTCACGTTGCGAGCCCAGTGTGTTTGTACGTGCGACGTCGGTCAAATGAAAGTCACTTAAATTTCGATTTAAAGCTTTCGTGACTGCAGGGATTCATATTCTTGGTTCTTTCGGTAAAGTCACGTAGAAGGGAAATAATATAATATTAAAACAATAACATTTCTCACGTTTCGACTGCAACACAAGCAATCATCATCATCAGGTGTGAAATCCACAGAAAAAACATTTTTAAAATGTTCTTGCTGTGGATTTCACACCTGATGATGATGATGATTGCTTGTGTTGCAGTCGAAACGTGAGAAATTGTATTGTTTTATATTTACATTATTTTATTATTCCCTTTCTACGTGACTTTACCGAAAGAACTAAGACTATGAAAGTCACTTATTTGAACGGCCCTGGACTGAGACTGCCTGTGACCTTCAGCGTTGAGGCGCCGCTCAAATAACTAAACGGCAGCAAATCCAAACGACAAACATCGTGAGTAGTGAACAGCGAGTGGATCAGCGCGGCTGGGCTACGTACGGTGCGAAAGAAGTTCAACACACAGAGCATAAGCTGTTGTTTGTGTCACTTTCTTTGTTGCAACTTGCCGGAAATCTGTGTAAATAAACACAAATAAGCCGCGTGGCTCGGCAGATTTCTCCAGTAACGAACCAAACACCTCTTCTGATTGCGAAACACAAACTCGGCAATCAGTTGTGCAGACCAGAAGGGGGGTGGAGAGTGAATGTCGTCGTGAATGACAGCGTGTGTCTGTTACTGACTGGGTTATATCGACACACACAACGTATGTTGATCACGCATGCACACGATGCATGCGCATTGCGTGTGTGTACGTTCGGCCGTTATAAAAATAACTTCACCCAAATACACTCGTAGCGATGTGGACGTGTAACCCGGTCACAGGAGCAGACTTCAAGCAGCTAATGCCGATGGGTAAAGGTGCAGTCCTGCAAGTGCTCGCGTCACCGCTGCGACGGAAGGTTTTCTCGAGGGAGCTCTGGAGAGAGAGCCTCCGTGGGATGTAACTTGGCCTACTCTTCCACGCTGGCCGATACTTTGTTTTAGGAGAGGTGGGACTACACAGACTCGGTGATGATGTATCTTGGAGGAATCCGATGAGCTGTGAAGCTCTTCATCACAGATATCCAGTCGGAAATGTTGACCACCACCACCCACATTTTACCCCACCGGTGAAATTAAAGCATGCACACACTCTTGAGGGCCTTGTGATTCTAAATGTGGAGGGAAAACCCGGAGAGAAATCCACGTGGCCACGGGGAGAGAGACACGCAGGCTGCAAATATACAGCAGCAGGCGTTAGGATCGGGATCGAACCCACGACCTCCTGTATACCAGGCGAGGTAGTCAACATCTCCTAGCCACCGTGATGATGATGATGATGAGAGAGACACGCAAACTCCAAATATACAGCAGCAGGCATCAGGGTCTGGATAGAACCCACGACCTCCTGTATACCAGGCGAGGTAGTCAACATCTAGCCACCGTGATGATGATGAGAGAGAGACACGCAGATTTCAAATATACAGCAGCAGGCGTTAGTCGGGATCGAACCCACGACCTCTTGTATACCAGGCGAGGTAGTTAACATCTCCTAGGCACCGTGATGATGATGCTCTTTCGATTAACCCCGCTGTGTGCCAATACAAGTTGGCCCGGCTCATCTTTTGCCTCCTCGGTTGCATACTGATAGTGTGCCTCTGTGTATGTGGGGCGGGCAGACATGTGGCGTGCTGGTTAGTGAAATGCGCTACAAACGTGGTGATCTGAATACAAATGTCCAGCAGCCACTTCTAACTCGGTTGCAAATATAGGAACCGTTCCTGGGCATTCCCTTGGCTTTGAGCCTTAAGTGAGTAAGTAGCCGGCGTGTGACGTCAGCTTCAGCGTTGGGGAGACAGACGTGGTGCTGGCCACCCCACCACCATTGCAGCCTTCACGACTACCAGCAAATCGCATTGCCCCAACAGTCAGCACAGTCAGCATAGGCCGCACAGGGGTTCTTTTGAAAATGTGTAATGCTAATGTGGGTGAGCGAGTGTAAGGGTGTACGAGTGTGTGTTGGACAGAGTATTGTAATTCAAACCTTGCAAAAATTAACCCGTGAAAACAAAGTTTTTCACTATAAATCCTTTATATGCGTGGCGGCTAGAGTCCTCTCGTACTCTGGCTTGAGATGGCTACCACCTATGGGTCAGATGATTGTCTGCCACTATTAAGCAATTGATCATTAAATATTTAAAAAAAATCCCTAAACAGTGTAAAATTTGGGAAAATTTGTTTCACGAAAATTAATTGTCACGCACAACGAGTCTGTGTGCAAAATGTCAGCTCGATTGGATCACGGGAAGTGGGTTAAAAAATGACCGAAAGATTTGCACGGTCGTAAGCAAGCAAGCACGCCAGCAAGCAAGCAAGCGAACTTAATATAAAGGATTAAAAAACAGATGCCGTTCTTGGCTTCTGGTATCTGGCATGCTCCTTCTCAAGGTCATCTCAGCCTCATATGAATGAGTGTTCCGTGCTGTTTGGGACTTCAAATGTGAAGAAGTCCACGTTGGCTTTGGGTACCTGGTGCCTGTGTCACCGTGTGCGCAATAGACGCTCGCCAGCAACGTATCCCGGCATTGCGACATCGCTGCCCAAGGACACGAGAGGAACAGCGACCTTCTGCTGCTGTCACAATGTCTATGAGCTCGCAGGCATTACACGTCATGAGAGTACTCTTTGGTTCTTTCGGTAAAGTCACGTATGAAGATAAAATAATAAATTAAATACCAGCATACGACGTTTCGAATGCAACACAAGCAATCATCATCAGGTATACATTAAATAGAAACACAAATCTATTATACTTAGAAATGTAATGTAATACAACAGAGAGGCGGATAACATAACAGTCAACACCCAATCTGGTTGATTACGTTCTTCCTGAGAATGCCAAATTTGAGAGAGATCAAACACAGAACCAGAACCATAATCTCTCTCTCAAATTTAGCATTCTCAGGAAGAACGTAATCAACCAGGTAGGGTGTTGACTGTTATGTTATCCGACTCTCTGTTGTATTACATTACATTTCTAAGTATACTAGATTTGTGTTTCTATTTAATTTATACCTGATGATGATTGCTTGTGTTGCAATCGAAACGTCGTATGCTAGTATTTAATTTATTTTATTATTTTATCTTTATACGTCACTTTACCGAAAGAACCAAAGAATAATTCCTGCAGTCACGAAAGCTCCAAATTAAGTCATGAGAGTCCTTGACAAGAGCAGTCCTTTGTGTGCACAAGTCAGGGCAGCTCGATCAGCTACTGGAAGTGATTCATCGCGAGACACAGCTGCCATAGACATTGGCTCAGTCACGTCTGGATTTGACCTTCCACAATGTGAGTTTTTATCTTCAGTATCGTACGCGTTGTCACACTTTCTGTTGAACGATGAGAAGCTCGTGAGGCAGAAGAAGTGCGTGCAGCATGGAGACAGGTGAGAGTAGTGACACGTGCAGAAGATGACTTCGAGACTGCAAAATTTTACACTGTTTAGGGGAAAATACATATTTAATTACCAATTGTTTAATGCTGCCAGACAATCATCTGACCCATAGGTGGCAGCCATCTCAAGCCAGAGGACGAGATGACTCTAGCCGCCCCGATGCCACGCATATAAAGGATTTATAGTGAAAAACTTTGTTTTTACGGGTTAATTTTTTATTTATTTATGAATAAAATCGCAACAATGTAAACAATCCGACAGCTGTGCTCCTGTAATCGACACGGCAGGCTGAGGATGGGCAGGGAAGATGTATTATTTGTTTCATCCCTGCTACAGCTCAATGGAGAGTGATACAAGCTCCAGATCATGAGATTAAAGAGGTAACACATTTGATACAGTCAGAAAACAATTCAAGTCAATCCCTAAACAAACATATCATCATCGTGTTTCCATGTTTTTTATTGTGTCGACTCATTTCACAATAAACATGGGTACATGTTATCTTATAAAATCCATTTGTTGCGATGACATTTACAAAGGTCGTCGTCACGGTGAAAGATCACATCGTCGTACAGACGGAGACAAGTGTAGGGTTCACTGCACACAGCCCCGCTT